AACTTCTGATGAGGCAATAGAAAGCACTGAAGGCCCCTGGCATGAAGCCTGGCCCAGGGAACAATACCAATACAAGAAATCATCTTACCCAAAAGTTGGGAGAGATGAGCTAAAAGGGTAGAGCTCTTTCTCTATATACTTTTCACCAGCAGCTTCAGGCTGTCTTGCCTTTCCTGGGAAAGGAAAACCTGACAAACCCTTGTGTCAATGAAAGCCCCCAAATGAAGCAGGCGAGTTGAAGGAATAAATTGGCTCTTTTTAATATTAATAGAGGAAACCAAGATCCTGCAGAACCGAGATGGTGGTCTGCAGGTCCCGCTGAGCCCTTTGAAAAAAAAGAAGACAGTATCAAAATATCGTGTAAATAACATTGCAGACACACCAGGAAGATGTGCTGCCAGGGGAGCCAAAACTTTGGTGAAAATTCTAAGGGCGGAAGATAACCCAAAGGCGAGAGCGCTATATTGGAAGTGCTTCCCCTGATAAAAAAACCTTAAGAACCTCCAGCCAGAAGTCGCTACCGGTTTGGCGACCCACGCCAAATTCTTGCTACCAGTTCGCCCGAGCCAGTGCAAACCAACTGAATACCACCTCTGCTGCAGTCCAACGACAAGGGATTAGGCGCCATGGCAGGTGACTCCAGCTGTTTCTGAACGACCTTCAGAAAGAGCCTGGGAGATGGGACCACCTCCTCCCTCACTGCAGGTTCTTCGAAGAGGACATCCGATTCCATGGGAGACTGAGTAGCTGCTTCATCATCATCTGCATCCTTCAGATTGGCAGTATTTCTCGCTTTGAAGTGAATAAAGCATGCTTAAAACAGCTCATGAACATGGAATCTCAGGGATTACTCTCATCTTCTGACATGTCTTGTCTGGTTCACCAACCAAGGAATGCTCAGTAGCAACCTCAGGAGCATAGGCCAAAGCAGAAGGAGAAACACGTTCCTGAATCAAGGAACCCCTTTCTGAAAGTAGAGCCTCTCGACCCCAGGACCATCTCTCTGAAACTTCAGAAGCCACTGAAGAATGATGGGCAAACCTCTGAATACCTTCACAGGTACCTTTCCTGATAACCCTATCAATCAAGAGCTGCAGATTGACTGGGACATTTGACTCAGAAGGCTCAGCCAGTCTAAGGCCAGCTGCAGTAGGAGTAAAAGAGACTTATGCAACCTCAGGCCTACTGCACTCCTGCTCCTGCCAGAGTACTGCCCTGAATTCTCCTTGAGGATCACCATGATGACTTCCCTCAGCTGAGGAACAAAGAGAGGCCTCCCCTCCGGCTGCATCAGGGGACCAAGTCTGACAATGGTCCTGGAGGAAGGTCCAGGCTCTCTTGATCCTGAAGGTCCACCTCACTGTGATGTGAAGCAAGAAAAGTTTCTCTTTCTGGAGATCTGATTGTAAAGGTCTGTTGTATCTTGGCAATATGCTTCTCGAAGGCCTGATGGCACCTGGAAGCATCCCTCTCCTCCACTTTAGAGGCCTTTTTTGCTGGCTGCTTTCAATGTTTGTTACTTAAAGCAGATGGAGCTGCCCTGTGTGATCTCGCTGCTTTGGAGGCTCTGCTGTCTTTAGGGGCATCCACCATCTTGAAAGCAGAAAGGCCTTCTCTGGACTTGTAGCCCTGTGCAAGGAGAACAACACACGAAGGGATTTCTTCAACAAATTCAGGAGATATCTTCTTTCCAATCCCCTACCTCCAATAACCACTCCTCTTCAGCCCTATGCAATCTTCAGTAGGATATTTTAATACTTCCTACTGGGACTCATACCCCTTGGGGCCTAATAGGGCTATTAAATATAGACCAGGACTCGCATGAAGCCTGAAGGCCCTGGTCTACTTCAGGATAGGGACTAATCCCTACCGGAATGAATAAATTTAAACAGTGTCTTCTGGCGTAGCAACGAGAGGCCAATGGTCTAGTGCTGTGATGGTGAACCTATGGCACGCGTGCCAGAGGTGGCACACAGAGCCATTTGTGGTGGCATGTGAGCTGCAGGCAAACTTACTATGCACGCCTCACAGCTGATTTTTGGCCAATTGGAGGCCTTTTTTGGCCTCCCAAAGTCTTGAGGAAGGCTTCTTCAGGCTTCTACAAGCTTTGTAGGCTGAAATCTAGCCCCGTTTCCTCACTTCCAGTATTTTTGGAAAAGCTTCACCAAGGAGCCCTAAAAGGAGATCCTCGGCCTTTCGCTGCTCCCTGGAGGGCAGGGGCAGTTCCTGAGCTGGCTGCTCAAACTGCGTATTTCTTCACTGCGGAGGCTCCAAAATGGCCCTGCGGCTCAGGACAGTGCGGGCCGAAGTCACCTGCCCCTCAAAATGGCGGCCCAGTGTTCATGGCCTCCCCTTTGCCACAGAGGCCCAAAATTGGCACCATGGCTCTCTGCAGGCTTCTCCAGATTGCCGGAACAGCTCTCAGCTATTACAGGGCTCCGAAGAACAGCTGAGAGTTGGAGCCATGTGTTTTTTAATTCTGAGGCTTTTTTTCCTCAAAATGAAGTAAGGCTGCCTTTGGAAAAAAGAACAAAGGCAGGAGAGGCAGTGACTTGCATCCGTCCTGGCTGAGGACTGAGTCAAAAGCTGGGAGGACCCACCCAGAGTGGGCGGAGCTAGGCTAATAAGCCTTTTAGACAGACTCCATCCAAGCAGCTAGGACAAGACCAACTCCCATTCCTGACCTCTCGCAGCCTTACAAGGGAGAATAAGGGGATCCTCGATTCCCACTTACAGAGGAAAGGTCCAGTGGCATGGATGGATTTCCCTAGCTCCCAAAATGAGTGGGTTGATAAAATTCATGTCCAAGCTCTTATATTACTTAGATGCTTTCATTATAGATATCCTGACAAACCTAAATGATCATTCTTTTTCCTTGTTTTTCTTCTCTTTTCTCCTCCTAGGTCCCTATTGGAATGCTGCCATTCTGGAAAGAAGAAGGGTGGCATCATGGACTACGTAAGTTTGCATGCTTTTGGTTTGTTGTTGCTGCAACTGCTTGGGAGTTCACACCATCTGCAGTGACTCCCTCTGCACTAGTCTGGGCCAGGTATCCAAGGTTACAGTGCCCCGAAGATGAACTCTGCTCACCATCCAGCTTTGGAAATTTTCAAAACACCTTTGTGGCATATTATTGGATACTGATGGTCACCGGGTATCAAGTGGGGGTGGTGTTACAAGGAAAATTTAGCCTAATGCTTCGCACCTGAATTTCAGACTCAGCCAGACTTCTCTGCAATAACTATCTCTCAGTAAAAGTTCCTTTTCAAGTGTAAATTGTTTCAAGAGTTTTACTTTCTTGGGAAGGTTGTTGTGGCAGTGCTGTCTAACTGGTTCAACCATCCTAGATACTCATTTGCTATATTCATTTCTTACTGCTTATTTTCACCATTCAGCAGTGGAACAGCTCTCTCCTGTTGCAGTGACAATCCAAATCAGCCACCCATAAAAGCTGGAAAGGAACAACAACTTAGAATAACAGAGTTGGAAGGGACCTTGTAGGTCATCCAGTCCAACCCACTGCTCAAGCAAGAGATCCTATACCATTTCTGACAAGTGGCTGTCCAGTCTCTTCTCGAAAGCCAGGTTTCACCTAATCTCTATGTGTACTTTTGATTTTTCTTGCCTAAGTATAAGACTTTACTTTTTCTGTACATTGAATTTCATTTTGTTAGATAGAGCACAATCACAGTCTGTTGAGATCCATCTGAATCTTGAGCCCATCATCTAGGGTATTGGTTATTCTTGCCAGCTTAGTATCATCTGCCAATTTGGTAAGTTCCCCTTCTATTCCCTCATCTAAGTCATTTAGTTAGGTTGTGGTCTATTTTGTAGAATGCCTTACTGAAGTCTAAGTATACTATGTTCACAGCATTTGGCTGGTTCATTAATTTAATCACTTTATCAAATAATGAAATAAGATTGATTTGGCATGATCTGTTTTTAACAAACCCATGCTTGCTTCAGTTTATAACTATTTGTTTCTAGATTTTTGCAGATGTTTTTTGATTATCTTTTCCAGTACCTTCCTAAGTATTGATGTTAGGCTGATTGGTCTGTAATTTCCCGTGGCTGATTTTTCCTTTTTTGAAGATGGGAACCACATCAGCTCTTTTCCAATCCTCTGGTAGTTCCCCAGTGCTCCAGGATTTTTAAAATATGTTGTGCAATGGTTCTGAAATGACATCTGCCAGTCCTTTAGAACTCTGGGATGTCAGGTCCCAGTGATTTGTATTCATCAAGATCACACAGGTGTTCTCTTACTATTTTTTAAACTTATTTTAACTTTTATTTCTAGTCTGTCTTTTACAGGCTGTAGTTTCTTTTTTCTTTTTTTTTTTTTTTTGCGTGTAGACCGATGCAAAGAATGAATTAAATAGCTCTGCTTTCTGTCTACTGCCTGTTACTTCCTTGCCTTCTTTAGTCTGTTTTAGTCGGGGAACGAAGAAAGACCAAACGTGAAGCCCCAAACTGCATTTGAAGCCCCAAATTGCATCTGATCTGACCCTAGGTAAATGCTTCACTATATAACAGTTGTAGCATGGCACTGAAGAACCCCCCTCAATACTTTAACATTGCTTTCATAATTGATCCCCAACTTTGTTTTACATTGCCTTACCTTCCCAAACAGCTTATCCATACATGTAGGGATGATAATTGCTGTAGTCCCCTACATTTGCTGAAAATACCACTCTCTTTTTAATGCAGTACCAGATCCGGAAAGTCAATTCATTCTTTTTAAAAACAGCATCTCTCACTGCCCTGCAAACTTTTTGGATTTCTCATAGGTGGCGTGGGAAACCGATTTTCTCATTATCCTTCTCCATATATAATCTATATGGCTAAACACTCTCTCAAAGAGATATAGCTGCTTCGGAGGTCGAAGCATCAAATAAATTTCATTTGTGATTTAAAATAAATAAATAAATAAATAGTGGATTGAATCTTTTGCACCAGACGGACCCTACAAGTCAGGCAGAATAATCGAAGGAACTCCTTACCAATTTTTTGTCGTGGAGACGTCTCATCTTCGGGGAAGCCCATAAGGAACGGGGCTGCACACAGGGAACTCCTCACTGCCGGCGCCTCGAAAGTATAAACAGTAATTCCAAACATCCGGTCATGAGGCCAGGGCTGGCAGTGGCAGGGCTGCCGCCAGCTTCGTCACGCGCCAAGGGAAAGAGAACCTAGAGATAGAAAAGATGTAGAACGACAACGCGAGAGCAACTTGCTAGTCAATTGTGACGCGGTGCTAGATTCTTCTTTGCGGCCAGGCCTGCCTTTAAAGTTTAAAGTTTTGTTCTGCCTCAGCTTGGAAGGGAACTAACTTTATTACAGACAGGAAACCGCAGTAAGAAATTATAACAAAGCCACTACTATATATATCAGCATAATAACAATCCGGAAGGGACATTACCCCTAGGTGATTAGTAAAGCTCTTGTCAGACTTGAGGTTTTCCAGGTCAGAATTTGATTACACTCTATGTCATATTTTAAGTCCTATCAGATAGTAGAAGGGAGATACAGTGGTTACTTTAACAAGGTGGATATTTTGATAAACCAAATGAAATAAGCTTATTTCAGATGTTCATATAAAATTCGTAATATTTATCAACCTCAGCAACTTTTAAGACGTATGAACTTAACATTCAAAGTTCTCCAGCCAGCCCTGACTAGATGTTTTACCTGCATTTGCTACATAACAGCGTATCTGTATCTTATAAGAATCTTATTTTTTAAATAAATTTTTATTCTTTAAAAAACAAAAAATACAAAAATCTCATTTCTATTAACAGTTATTGTGTCATTGTATATACATGTTTCTTGTTTTGTGACTATACATTATTTTTATCTTTATTCTTTTACCCATTCATACCATCTCTCCCATATCTCATACTATTCTCGATTATCTTTGCCTTTCAGTTCCGTAGTGAATATATCTAGTTCAGCATAATCCATTATTTTTTGAATCAGAACTTCATCTGGTGGTATTTTATCACTCTTCCAATTTTGCGCTAAAGTGATTCTTGCTGCAATTAAGATATGTATAATTTTATCTTTACTCAAATTCCCTTTAATCATACCTAATAAAAATGTTTTAGGTTCCAATTTATATTTATATTTTGTAGTCTCAAAAAGCCATCTCTGTATTTTCTTCCAGTATTTTTAACCTCTATACATTGCCACCACATATGGAAAAACATTTCTTTCTTTCTTTGCACTTCCAGCATTCCGGTTTCAAGGTTGGATACATTTTCACCAGTCATGCCAGCGCTAATTGCCATCTACAAAACATTTCATATTGATGTTCTTTGAATGCTGTCGACAAAGTCAGCTTCTAGTTCTCAGTCCAAGTCTTTTCCCACTCATCCAAATTTATATTATGACCCACATTTCTCGCTCAGGTGATCATTGATCCCTTAACAATTTCCTCCTCTAATTCCACCTCCAATAAATAATTATACGTTCATGTTATAAATTTATATCCTTGCCTGTCAAGATTTGGTCTAATTTTTGTAAATATCTTTATCTAGCTCCTTTACATCTTTCTTAAATTTAGTTTGAATTTGCAAATATACCCACCAGTCTAATGTTATCCCTTGTTCTTTTAGTTTATCCAGTGTTTTTAATTCCCCCTGTTCATCTACAATTCTTTATATCTAATCATTTTTTTAACGTCCCTTGTATTTGGATATAATATAGCTTCCATAGGTGAGATCCAGTTTGGTCTTTTCAAATAATGCTTTTTTTTATTTTCTCCCATGTTTGTAAAAGTGAGTCCCTTATCAAATGTCTATGGAAATAGGAGTGGATCTTATTTTATCCCATAGAAAGGCATGCCACCCAATTTGGAGTCATGACCTTCTATCGCCAAAATTCTTTTATTTTTTAAATTTATCCACTCCTTAACCCATTGCTGCTTGATAATGTGTTTCCCATTTTGGGAGTCCAAGGCTGCCTCTGGTTCTACTATCTTGTTACGTCTTCAATTTTATTCGTGCTTTTCCCCCCATCGATATAAATTTCATTACCATCCTATCTAATTCCTGAAAAAATACTTATCCGATTTTATAGGTATTGTTTGAAAATAGTATAATAGTTTCGGTAGTATGTTCATTTTTATGGCCTCTATTCGGCCTAATAGTGATAGTTGTAATTTTCCCTGATTGGTCAGGTCTTTCTTTATCTGTAAAAGTAATTTCATATAATTATCCTCTTTTATGGAAGAGCATCTTCCTGTTAACCAAATTCCTAGATATTTCAGTTTTTTGACACTTTTTAATCCCAATTTCCTTTCCAATTCTTTTTTCTAACTTTCTATCAAGTTTTTGGTTATTACTTTTGTTTTATCTTTATTAATTTTTAGTCCTGCTACCATCCCATATTCTTCTAATTCTTGAATTAGATAGATCCCTAACTCCATTGGATCTTCCACAAAAAACACTAAATCATCCGCAAACGCCTGTACTTTATATTCTTCTTTGTTACTGTTCAGTCCAATTATCTCCTTTCTTTGTCTAATCTGATTTAAAAGCACTTCCATTGAATAAGAATCTTATTAAACTTGACCTTTAATGAAGCAGATGACAGGCTTTGGAGAAGTCTGCATTTTCTAGAGAATTGCAGGATTTTCAGGTAAGTAACCAGCTTCATATTAATCAGATGTCTGCAAGGAAGGCAAGTGATGTTATATGCATCACGATGCAGAATACTTTCCTTATTTGCATGATGATGTCTTGATGCATATGTGTTGTTATTGTGTGATTTCTATGAGACACTTTATTAAATTTTCCACCTATCTTGCCACGGGGCTATCTAGGTGGGTTAAAATAATAAAAAAGGAAGACTTTAAAAGAATTGTCAGCAAAGCAGAAGTAAAATCATAGAACAATAAAATAAACAATGAAAAAGAAAATGAAAATGCATCAATATATTACAAAAGATAGATGGGTTGAGAGCAGGGAGCAAGGAGGGAAGCAGAGTCTGTCATCAATTCAGCAGCTACCTCCAGCATGTAACTTCCCTATTGGGTCCCCAGGACAACTGGCAGACCCAGGTCTTTTAAGTTACTATTGAGGGAGCCAGTAATAATACCAGTAGAAACAAAATGAGTATTATTTTGAACTTCTACTTCCAGAACTTGTTTCTTGTACTGATAGTAAGAGCTCTGATAAAACATGTTAGGTCAACAATTTCCTTGATAAAGCCTCCATTCAGACTGATTGATGTCTCTGAAGTATTATTAATTATCAGAATTGGAGGGGAGCTTGTAGGTCATCTAGTCCAGTGTTGGCAAACCTTGTGATGAAACCGAAGGACGTGCACGCATGGGGGAGCACTAGAAACCAAAAGAGCAGCTTCCTGGCATGCGCACGCAGGAGCACTGACCACCTGGTCTTCCAGTTTCTGGTGCACATGCCCACACAAAGACCAGCATGCACCCAGAAACTAGTAGCTCAGCTTCCCAGCACACATACGCATGTTGGGAAAGACCAGCTGGCTGGCATGCATGCACATGCTGGAACCCAGAAGAGCAACAGGCAATGGCTGGCATGCCCAGAGAGATGGCTCTGTGTGTCACTTCCGGCACATCTGCCATAGGTTCATCATCACAGATCTAGTCCAACCCCCTGCCCAAGCAGGAGACTGTACAATGTTTCTGACAGGTGGGAGTCCAGTCTCTTCTTGAAAGTCTCCAGTGATGAAGTTCCCACAACTTCCGAAGGCAAGCTGTTCCATTTGTTCTCACTGTTAGGAAATTTCTCCTTATTTCTAGACTGAATCTCTCCTTGATTAGTTTCTATTCATTATGCCTTGTCTGGCTCTCAGATGCTTTGGCAAAAAGGTTGACCCACTCCTCTCTATGACAGCCACTCAAGTATTGGAACACTGCTATCGTGTCTCCCCTGGTCCTCTCTTCACTAAACTTGTGAGTTGCAAAGTTGTGTACGACTCATCACAATCTCATAAATGTTCCCCCAGGCCTTCCTGTCCTCTACCATCTTCTGGAGTCCATTTAAGCTCATGTTTACTGCTTCAGTGACTCCATCCAGCCCCCTCATTCCCTGTTGTCCCCTTCTCCTATTGCCCTCAATCTTTCCCAGCATTATGCTCTTTTCCAGTGAACCCTTCCTTCTCATTAGGTGGCCAAAGTATTTGATTCACTAGACTATCCATGCTCAATTCCTGTAATCATTCTTCATATGTTTTAGCCTCCTTTGTTGCTCTTCTCTGCACTCTTTCTAGAGTCTCAATCAGTGGTGGGATTCAAAATTTTTTACTACCAGTTCTGTGGGCATGGCTTGGTGAGCGTGACTTGGTGGGCATGGTTTTTTAAAAACAAACAAAACAAACAGAACATAAAAACATCAGCTCTCTTCCAGACATATATACAAACAGTGTGTCGGTTGGTCTATCAGTTTTTGTGCATTCATTTCATAGTCTCAATTATAGTTACATTACATAATTACTCACATTATCAATCAAAAATTATATATCCTAGTATCACTATTAAAGAATCATTTGACTATAATTTTATTCATTCATACTTTATGAGATAACTATAATTTACGTAGTTTATTTTATAACAAATCATATAGTCATACCAAATCTATCCTAAAAACATTTTATAGATATATCAAATAACAAAAAAAAGAAAAAATATCTTTTTATATATTCCTTATTATCTAACATTCTAAATATTCTATTATTGTATTTTATCGTCCAACCATTGATAGCAAAGGTCCCAAATTTTATAGAATTGTATATCCTCTTGCTCTCTGATTTCAAATGTCAATCTACTCATCTCAGCACATTCCAATATTTTCTTAATAATTTCTTCCTGCAATGGTATTTTCTCATTTTTCCAATTTTTAGCAAATACAATCCTAGCCACTGTTAATACATTTACAATCAGATATTTCAAGTCTTTACAGGAAAGATTCCCAATAAAAAAATCTCTGGTTTCAAATCTATGTGTTTCTTTGTCATTTTTTCCAACCACATGCGAATTTTAGTCCAGTATTTTCTAGCATCCTCACAAGTCCACCACATATGGTAATATGAGCCAGATATCTGATGACATTTCCAGCATTTTTCAGATTTATTCTTGAACATTCT